GACGCTTGGGGCAAAGGAGTGGGTGCAGATTGGCGGGGCACAGATTTCAGGGGTTGGCCCCCCGGGGCGGCGATCTTGCGCGCACAAGCCCCATGACTGGGCCTGCCGTCGGGCCCCTTTGCCCACACAAGCCGCCCGCGGACTCGTAGAAGCGCCACATTCAACTGCGCCCTCCGCACCGCCGCGACAGCCCGAGGCGCTCGACCGCCCGCTGCTGGGACACCTGCGATGGACCCCCCTCGATGCTCGACGCCCGTGGTGGCCAGATGCCTTGGAGGGCGGGTACGCGCGATCTGGACGAACGGATGCCAGTCGTTGTGGCACGGGTCCCGCCCCTTGCGGGGACCAACACGGCGCTGGGCGCATTGGCCTCTTCTGTGCCTGGTCGAGTGGCCTGGCGGCGAGCTGTGGCGGCCATAGCCGACGGCGCAGGCGTCTCGACGCCCCGGCCGTCGATCAGTCTCGCCTGCGCGCGGATGCATCGCAGCGGCGGGGTTGGAGTGGCGCGGTGGCAATTGTGGCATTCACGATCCATTTGGACGCGGACGCGGGCGATCATTGACTTCGGTGCCCTGCGCTACAGGCTCTTGGGGCGTCGCTCCGCGGGGCGGCGAGCGGCGGTGGTCGCCCGCGGAGGCCCGTGCGTCGGCTGGTGGTCGTCGCCGGTGCCGGCGCCGGCAGCGGCGCCGCGCCCGTGTCCAAGACCGGCCTGAGGAAGCTGCCAAAGGTGGGCGCCGCTGCGGTCAGGGCGTGGCGGAAGCGCTGGCGCCACGCTGGGCTTCCGCGACTCCTTGTTCAAGACACCCCCCCCGGTCGTTGTGCGGTCCTGAGGTTTTGGCATTTTGGCTTCCATCGATGCGCTGGTGATGTCCTCACTAGCGCCATGTCAGTTAGTTTAGGGTGAAACACTGCGTTTCGAATTGTTATTTTCAAGTGTTACCAGTCCACCGCTCAGGAAGATATGTTGTCCAGAAGGGATGGATGCCATGGGGCGAGTTTGAACCCCATGTTGGCACACCGGCACCACTGTTATAAACTCAGTGTTTCACCTGCAAGACTATGCACGACTACTGCCTTGTTGCCTCGTCAGGGCTACGCAATTTGGCCACAATCAGCATCACTTGGCATTTCCATAAGTGCAGGTACTAAATGTTGCAAGCCGACTTTCCTCTGCAAGGTGCAGCATGTTTTAACGTTTTTGGAATGCATTCTTGTAATCGCACAACACAAGCACGATTATGCTCACTGAGCTGCACCAGCACGCTCTACACTCTGACATTACATGCCCCATTCGTGGTCACAGGCTGAACTTGCCAAACAACTGTCGAACTATGGTCTGGACAGTTCAGGCACCAAGCCACAACTTGTTGACAGGTTACTGGAGCATTTGAAAGCAGCTGATGGTTTGGACGAGATGTCCAAGGTGAGGGCTTTCTCAAGATGCCAATGAGCGCATCCTTCTGCCCTCATAGCTGTTGCTAAACCATGCACATGCTGTGCACGCAGGCCCATTTAGCAATATGGTACAATGTTCAGAAGGGTCACCAGCAGAATAGTTTGCGTGGTGACAATGAGCCAAGCTGGTGTGAAACATCTTCTGTTCAGTTTACAGCTGTGCCAAACTCTTGTATGGCAGCATTGGCCTACTCAGCAATATCTGTAGTCAAATGGCACCTGGTGCCACAAGTGTGTGACTCTGTCTTCGCAGCTGTGGCCACTTGATGGTTGTACAGCCTTCAGTCATCATTGGCAGCAAGCCTTCGCATCAAAAGGAAACTTGAAATAATATGATCTCTTTTCCTGCACAGGATGGGCAAGATGATCCAAGCATTGTGCCCACTGAACAGGAGCTCATCAAAAAGACAAAGGCAGGTTGTTGAGCACCAAATATTTGCATATGTGAAGGCCATTCATTGTATGACAAGAGTGCTGCCCAACACGCTCATGTCTCTGGCAGGCAGAACTAGTGGAGATCTGCAAGGCATCAGGTCTGGCCGTACGGGGAACGAAAGCAGCCCTTGTTGCAAGGATCTTGGAGCATGCAGAGGAATCTCTTCAACCTGACTGGCTTGGTGTGCCCGCTGTGGATGTGAGTTTCTTGGTGTCCAGCATCAGCATGCCAGGGCACCCTGCTCACGTGCATCGGCTTGAATGCTTGTCTTGACTTCCTGTAGATTGCCCATACCCTTATAACTGCGGTGGGTCAGTGATCAATACGCAAAACAGGCACCATGTGTACAGGGACATCCAGGTAGGCAATCGGTTGGCTTGTGCATATCTTGTTCATGTCTGTGCGTGGATCCAAGGTATGCGTGCTAGGTGCAATAGATATTCCAGAATTGAATGGACATTGTGTGCAGTACTTAGCTGAGTCGACAGTTGGGCAGTCACCAATGCAAAGCTACAAATTGCAGGCACAGCGAAAACATTTACAACAACAGTTGGTTAGATGGGGCCATCAACTCGCAACCTGAGAATTCATGACCCATTTATCCTGTCAGGTGTGAGAATTGGCTGGCTGTAGGGAAAAGAAACCCAATCATTCATAAAGAAAGGAAGCAGAGGGCTGTTGCAAGATTTGTGTTGTGACTCGACCACTGTTATGAAACTGCTGAAAAGAACATTGATCCAGCCGGTTTGTTGTGATTGGTGGTGTATGGTCGTTTGTTTTTGACAGTCTTGTCATTTGCCCAATTCTGTACTGACATCTTGTTTCACCTCAGTGATCATTTGTTAGATAGATTCAGCATCGCCCACGACGATTATTCCTTCACCCATAAAGATCCATCTCAATACAGAACATTGGTATGGCACCACTGGTTGCGTTTTCAGTCCTTGCATCAATTTTGTCCAGGTGCAGCTGGCCATCAAGGGCCAATGCCTGCTCCCCTGTTAACATGCCGATCAGTGCATTCCATTTATCAACAGTGAAATGGCCCTGCCATTGCTGTTCCAGATGCGATGAAGGGCATAACTTTATCAGGAAGCTATGTTTTCAAAGAGTATGCTCTTGTCCACCCACACAGAAGATCCAGAAGATCCTCTGTTTCTCATGCACAGGGTGCGGCCGACCCTGCCAGGGGCCAGGCCCAAGATGCTGAGCTTGTGACCAAAGAAGAGTATGCTGCCCAAAGAGAAGAGCTGAAGGCTGCGCTCCTTCAGACGACGAAGGTTCAGCTCCAGCAGATGTGTATTGCCCGCGGTCTCAAGAAGAGTGCAAACACCAAATTGGAGCTTGCTGAGCGCCTCCTGCAGGCGATGGACGAACAGGAAGAAGAGGAGCTGCGGGAGGAGAGCGAGGTGCTGGGAGGCTCTGGGTTGGGCGGCAGATCTTGTTGTGACTGGCCCGCTGGGGACTCATAGAATTGCAGGATTGCGGATTGCTCTTGCAGGGACCTGTTGTTTTGCAGTGTGTCAGGGCGCATCCCATTGGCAGTCCACACTGGGTTTCAGGATTCAGCTGCACCTGATCGATGTGTTGCTTCTTGTGGGCCTTGCGAGGGAGGGGTTCCCGCAGTAATGCATTGGCCACAAAAATTCTTTTTAGACACTGTTTTGTTGTGTAATATTTTGGCAAAGCAAACAGACACGTTGAGGTGACAAGGGAGCAAAACCAGCTAGCTGCAGGTCGATTGTTTCATCATGCTCAACAGTGTGCAAGCATCTCATGCCAAATGTGCCCAGGTTGGGATGTCCATTATTGGGTTCGTCTCTTCCTCTTCTGCAAGAATCTTTGCATGCTGCTGACCATTGGCCTCACGGTAGTATTTTGTTGTCTATTATGCTTGTTTTTTCCCTTTTAGCAATTGTACCTGTCAAGCGATAGTCCTTATTTCCATAGTGACTTTCAGGTCTGCATGTCAGTTGTATGTTGTGTCATGCAGGCAGATATTGCACAGCCCCAGCCCTCTTCACAAATTGAAGCCCCCCCTGGTGTCACGGTGGAGGAGGGTGAGGAGATCACCCGAATCGTGGATTTCAGGGACCTGACAAAGGAGGACATGCCTGTGTACATTGGCGATATGAACTCTGAGATTGACATTATATTGGAGGAGATGCGCCAAACATATGGCAAATATCTTACCTCTGCTGGTGGGACAAGTGGGTTTCTGGAGCCCGAGACCGCCTTTCCAGGTAACGGTGATCAACATGAGTGCATAGATTTGAGCTGTTTCTGGCATGTGGCGTGAGGAAGACTGTGCTGATGGGATATGGTCGGCACTTGGGCAACATTCGTTCTGGTTGTGGGCAGCCTGGCTATGTCCAATATTTCCAGTGTCTGTATGCTGTTGTTGTTCCGACTGTTGCATCGCATTTCTGCTTTGAGTGTGGTGTGTACATCAGTTCGCTGACTGGGTCCATCACAAGACACATCAGCAAAAAGTGCAGCATTGTTTCACTGATCAGTGCATTGTTAACCAAGACATGACCCAAAGAGGGTGTTGTTTGATGGATCCTTGCACGAAAAAAGACCAGATCTATTACTCTTTGATTGGCAAATATAGTCTCTGATGCCGGCAAATCATAACAACTTCATGTGAGCGTGCTTCTAGGGGTGTTTTGCTCTCGTCTTTTGAGAGTGTTTATTGGCAGAGAATTAGCATGATTTGTCCCTAATTCCCTGGATGGGTAGTGAACACTTAGCTTTGAATAAGATGAACGTAACAAACATTGGGGAATGCTTGTGGTTGCTGGTTCCAGTTGGAGGTGTGGATGCTGACGAAGGGCCAACCGACGATGACCTCAGAGCACTGGAAAGTGAGCCAACGGTGCAAGAGTACTCATCGAGAGGGCCTGACCTGTTAGAGGAGCAGGATGTTGGTGATGATGGTGAAGCATGGTCTGAACCAGCTTTCGAAGAGCTGGATGCCCCAGTGATGGCACAGCCATCACTGGACACCACTTCCATTGGAGATGAAGATGCACGCCGCGATGCAACAATCCGCTTGGATGATGACGAAAATGGGATTGACGATGATGACCTGGTCAGTATGCGCGTAGAACGAGCACACCTGTCGGTGAGCTTTTGATGTGAATAGAACTGCGGTGTGGTGCAGTTGTGTTCTCAAGTTGTTTGAATTTTAGGCCAGCATCCATCCAGGTGTACATGTAGGTATGCGTTTGTCTGCTGTCATTGGCTTGAAGCATTTGCCATTTGGCAGCATTGTAGAGCCAGTGGCCCACCGGGCTGAAAGGTTAATATGGGCATCTACAGTTTCTGACTTCTGTCAGGGCACTGTTTATTTAATGATCATTGTATTACAACAGAAGTGGATTGGGCGTCCAATGGAACATGTTGGTAATGCTGCTTGGCCAACTTGGAGACGTCTATTTCCCCTGCCTGTCTGTTGTTGCCTTGGAGATCCATTCTGTTCTCGTTGTGGTTAAACATGAGCTTCTTGCACCAGTTGTCCACCAGAAGAATGCACCGAATTACAACATTTAAAGCATTGGCAACAATCTCAGTGTTGCTGTTTGCAGGAGAGCGAGGGGTTTGGTGTTGTTTCTAGTGAAGGGGTCAGTCCAGACATTTTAGGGGAGGACTTGGAAGAAGAGGAACAGGAACTCCAGCTAAGGTCGCGTAGGCGCAGCAGGAGACTAGACAGAGAGAGGGATATGGAGGCCAAGCTCCTAGATTTGAGTGGGCTCAAGGAGGAATACCCATATGATGACGACGAACTTGAGAAAATGGTCGATGCGTCCTATTTGCAAGAGTCTGATGAGGATGAGGAAGATGCTGATGAGGATGTTGATGAGGAGGACATCGTGGATGGCATGTTAGATGCAGAATTCGCCGATGCGGAGGGTGATGGATTGAGGATGGACGACCTTGAGGAGGACAGTAAAGATGCTGTCCCTTTGAGCGGGACACAGTTGGATGTTGTTGAAACTGTGACCAGTGCAGTGGCTGGGGAGGAGGCTGGCCTTGAGACTCTGGAGGAGGCCCTCAAACTGCTGCCAGAAGACGATGCAGAGGTCAAGAGTACCGAAGAAGATGCTTCAACAAGTGAAGCAGCGAGTGCTGTTCCCGATCTGAGTTCACCTGTGGCACCAACGTTGGGCGATCGTGAAATGGAGACATCGGATAAGCCTGAATTATCTGCTTCTGCAGTTGAAGAGGCTGGGATGGTTGCTGGCGATGCATCACCAAGTGATGCACCTCCCCAGGCTCCTGAAGAACGTGATGGTGGCGGCTCCATTCCTAGCGCAGTGTCAGAAAGTGAAGCTTTGAGCGAAGTTGATGAACCTGTGAATGGCACCATTCTGTATGAATCTCCAGCTGCAGCTGAAGAGGTGGAGGAAGGAGGGGGGGGGACCCAGCCCAGCACTGATATGCCCGCGAAGGGTGGTGTTACTTATCAATCTCCAACTCCCGTGGAAACTGAGGATGACTCTCCAGCTGAGATTTTCAAAGAATCTCCCACTGCAGCAGAAACTGTGGAAGGCTCTCAAACTTCGGTGGGAACATTGGAAGAATCTTCAATTTCAGTAGACAGAGTGGAGGAGCCACAAATTTCATTGGAAACTGCTGAAGAGCCCCCAGCTGCTGCCAAGCCTTTGGATGCTGAGAAAAGTTTGGCAACCTCTTCTCAACTGGAAGCCACAGAGGAGCTATCAGCTGCTGCCAAATCTGCTGCAGGTGTATCAGACGCCGCCACTCTTCAGGCCGAAGTCGTTCAAGGGAAGAAAATGATCGAGACCCTTCAAGAGCAGGTGATGTCCTTTGTCGTGTCAGACTCCAGGTGCAGCTGCTGAGATAAGGAAAAGAACCTGTTGATAAGGATAGGTGCTGGGTAGCAAAAGATGCAGACAGTTTGTGTTTTCGTTTGTTCATTGTTTTGTGACGTGGCGAGCTGATTTGGAGGAGTGATGGCTTGTGTGGACCACTTTCAAGTGCTGACTAGGATGTGGCTCCTGGGTGCCACACACGACTGTTGATACCTGTGTGAAGAAAGTTTGCAACTGCTCTGTGGACTTGGGCCCAATGGCACGGCTGAGCTCGCTTCTTTGTGACGAAGTTCTGTGGACCTCTTGGGGACATATTATTGGGGCCATATTTCCATCACTGTATCAATAAAAGCTGGTGGAGGATTAGCAGTTGTTCATGGACTCCGATTCAGATATCAGCCCGCAAGGAGGCCCTAACACAGATGCAGGAGCGCATCGAGGCTGCAGAGTCGACCCAGCAGTACACTGTGGCCCAGATGGAGCGATTGCTGCTCGTGGCAGAAAACTTGAAGACCCAGAGGACGGACTGGCAGAGCACTATGCGAGGGAAGGTGGACTCCCTCAAGGAAGCTGCCCAAAGAATCCACGAAACTGAGCAGACCAAGGTGATCCAGACAGCACCTTGGATCTGTGGTAGTTCAATGGACTGCGAACCGTTCACAGTGATCAGCTCAGGATGAGTGCTGGTAGTACGCGCAACACGGGTTGCGGCAGCTGCTGCAGTGTATTTAACCTATCCTGTCACATGAGCATCCATATTGATTCTTCAAGAGCTCTTGCTGCCTATGCGCATTTTGCTGCCTTCCTTCTTTCAATGTGCTCTTTGCCACTTGCCACATTACTCTCAGGTCCTTTGGACATTGCTGGTGCTGTTGGCAGAGATCAACCAAGAAACGAAGGTGAATGCAGTCATGTATGGGTCATTTTTGGTGCGTAGTTTATGAGGCAGCCAGTGAGTCCGCCCTGGCTGATGATTTGTACGTTCGCCCCAGGCAGCCCTGGCATCGAATCTGGACGAGCTTGAGGAGCAACTGCAAGATCTTGAGAAGCAAGCAAAGGAAAAAGACAAAGAGGCAGAGAAACTGAAAGAAGCAATCAACAGGCAAGTTCCACCCCCTTCCAGTGAGAAACGTTGCACAGACAGCCAACGCATTGGAGACAACCCCCCGACCATCGTGGGGGCTCTATCATGCATGGGCAGCACTGTTCTGCATCTATTTACCCATTGATGTGTTAACAATGTGGGTGCCGGCTGCTGGTGCACCATGCAGCGAATTGCTACACGCAGACCGTAACTGCTGTGAACAGAAGTGATAACGATCTGCATACTGCACTGTGAAGGAGACAGTGTTGGCTTTAGTATCTATGTTAAACATTGATGGGCCGCCATACATCAATAGACCATACATCAGCGCCACATATACACATTGCTGCGTCAGTGTTTGTGGTCGCCCTTGATCGTCACAATGCACAAATATGTTGCATTGGCTTGGCCATGAGGCAGGCTCCTGTTGCTGTTTTCAGGGCCATGGAAGAACAAGGTTTAGTTCAGGCACCCGGCTACTCAAACGGAAATGGAAACGGGTCAAACGGAAATGGGCTGGGTCTCTATGGCACTTATGGTGGTGGTGGATCCAATGGCTCCCCTAGCTCCCACACCACCCCCTTGCCCCTGGCAGGCCTTGGCTTTGACATTGACCCCTTACTCCTGGGACCCATATCACTCCCAGATTTGTATCCTGACGGACAGAATCTGGGACCTAAAACACGACTGGGTTCGGATGGTGCTGAGGGGGAATTGGTTGGTGATGCTGGCAGTCAAGAGCCAGAGGATGAGGAAGAGCAAAAGGACGAGGAAGAGGAAGAGGCCTCAAGCAGTGCAGGAGTCTCTGAAGGCTCCTCAAATGAGGGCAAAGGATCAGACATGACGCCAGGTGAGGAACAGCCCCACAAAGAAGGCGTGCCACTATCGTGTCCATGAATTGACTAGTGATGCTGCTATCTTATGTGTCATTGACATCTGCACACATCTTATTCTGATACCAACAACCCCAAAGTATTTGATATGATCTGTTTGTCAAGCAAGAATTGAATATGGTGCACTGCAGCTTGCCTGTTGGTGTGGCTTGGCATATTTGGCACAAAATTGGTGAAGCTGTTCGTGAAGTTGCTGGTGCTTGTGTGACAAGGATCCCTGTGGTGCACAACCTGGCGTGCTGAATGTGGGCCTCACGTCAGTAGAGCTGGCAGCCTTTTATTCCCCCCTTATCATGGACTGGGAACACAAGACCATTCAATGTGACTGTGTTCCATAGAAATGATGACCGAGTCAGTACAGGGAAGCCCTACTCATCTACGCAACCATCTGTTTCCAAAGGCTGTGGATGGATTGTTGTTGATGATGTGTTGATCAAGACAGCATTATTCCCAGTGTGTGATATCTGCCTGAATGTATCTTCTTGTGCTTGGCACCCAGGGGTTGCAATGGCAGCTGGCGTGTTGGGTTTCTTGGACATCGTGAGCAGCATATTTGGAGACACACCAAAGAAGGGCTCAAAGGAGAGAAGAAAAAGTGAGGAGGAGGACAAGAATGAAGATTCGTAGCATACATATATAGTGCACCATGCGTTTCCAAACTCGTTTGTTATGGTTTGTGTTGTTAAGGGATTGTTGAGAGAGCAACGACACTGACAAGGCATGCAGGGAAATGGCAGCATTTCCTCTGCAACACTGCAGTGTGAGAGGGGTACTTTTCCTGCACAGAAGAAATCCGTAACATGTTGATCATTAACATCCTATTTAAGACAATCGCTTTTCTTTTGGTGTTTTTGGTGCACTTTGCTGGATTCTGGCACGATGCAGTACATGTGCCAAATTCCCCTGTAATTGCGGTGCCATCCCCTGTCTTGGTGTCGTTCCTGGGTAGTGCCACAATCAGAGACTACATCTGTAGTTGGTTACAACTCCTGTCAACGACAGCTGCAGTGGTGTCTCCAAATTTTGCCATGACACCTGCTTCAAGAGTACTCTCGAGGGGTAGCTGAGTTCCAGCGCATCAGACCGCACTCTTAATTGTCATTTTCACAGAAGAGAATGCAATGGCGTGTCACAAGAAATCCACAAGGGAGTAACCTGAAGGTGAGTCTGCTTTCAGCAGAAACGGAACGAAAGTACTGCGCTCTTACAGTGGCTTCAGTAATACAATGGAAAACAAATTCTCTTGGAAACGGCCTACAAAAATAGTGCCCACACCAGACACAAGCCGCCACCGCCGCCAGGCACACCAAGCTTATCATGCCACCGACGTTGGCTTTTGCTTTGTTGTGAATTTCAACGCCCTCAGGTGTTCCTGCAGCTGGACCAGCCATCGAGGTCTCGAGTTGCCAAACCCCTGGTTCACCTGGCGATACTGAGCGCCATAAGCCGCCCCGAAGCCCCAGCCCACACCAACACCAAGACCACAACCTCCACCTGCGCAGAAACATGCACAAAAAAGCAATTGCCAACCAGCAGCAAGCAACATTTAGGCTGGAGCTTCAGAAACAGACAGAATCGCCTGATAGGTGAAACAGATACTGTCACCACATATTATGATAAATCCACTTCTTTGAGATGTAAGGGCACCACCAAACATCCTTGTTGGCGATGCAGTGGGGTCAAAGTATCTGTGGCATGTTGCATGAAAGCCTACTGTTCTGGTGACACAATGCAACAGACACTGAAGTCTCATTGTAAAGCCCAGCCATGCGGATCACAGATTGTCCAATGCGCCTGCCAACTGTATAGCGTGCTGGAAGAACAATCGGCACCTCTTGACCTGCTGCTGGTGCCCGACGCTGTGCAATCGCTCTGCCATTTCACTTCGCCCACTTCACCCTGGGCAGCGATATTCTTTCTTCCTATTTGCTTGGTCATTCGTTTCTCAACTTTCCATGAGGGAGTTTTCGCTCTCGAGGGGCATTGGCACTTGGACATGGACAATTCTGGTTGCCACTGCAAATCAGTTGTCGACCTCTGTTGTCATCGAACGACGGCTGTTGCCACCACACCGCACATTTCACCGCAGAATTCCAACATTTCCGAAAACAAATGCTCAAAGGCCACACGCCTCTCACCGATTCCGAGTCCCCACGGTGTTCCAAGGTTGCTTCCTGAACAAGCACTCCAACATCAGCTGTGCAGCCGCCGCGGGTTGCCCCCCAAAGCGGCCAAACCATTTGCAGCACGGGGCCCCCACGAACGAGTTCGGCGCTGTGCACAACGCATCCGCCTCCCCGGCGACTCCGCACCTCCAAATCCCCAGCCTACTCCGAAGCCACAACCGATGCCAATCCCTGCACGCGAAGATCAGGACATCCCGTCGGTCATGCACAGTCAACTCAGGCCGAAAGCAAGCCACGTCGGCGCATCTTCAGACAGCCGCAGAGGTCCCCTGCACTGCTGCCGCGCGCGCTGGCATGCTGACCTGCTCCGACGCCAGGGCCTGTGAATCTGCGGGCCCCCATGGCAGGCGATGGCACGGCGATCTGCCGCGGGCGCCTGGGCCCTGGGCTGGCCCCTTTCAACGAATGTGTTGGCCTACGGATGCCATCAGAGCAGGCACAAGCACATCCCCCTGCAGTCGCCAGTCCGACGCAGCTTCTCTCTACAACCTTCCCTTTAAAAAATGGAATTTCTTCAGTATTTGTTTAAGTAATAGGATTTCTTTGGTATGTTTCACTGCACAACGAACTCCGCGCTGGTTGGCGCCTGTGCGGAGAGACCAACACAAAGAAACAATGGATCTAACTTGTGAGCGTCCACCCTGCGGTGTTGAATGATTGTAACACTTGTGAGTTTCTTTTTGGACGGAGTCGTCGCCCAATTATATTTCTAACGACTTCTTTTCCCACCACCACACCCACCCCCTTTGTGATCTGATGGGAATTCCTTGAAGTACAACAGTCTCTAATGGGGCATTCAAGCACCTGCTCGCCATTATCCATCAGATATCCTTCCTAATGGTCTTGCGTCCTGACGCTCAGCAATGTTTGTCGTTCGAACGAGCTTCTGGCCTTGCATCAATGACCAAAGACAGCAGGCCTGTGTTGCCAAATTTGTGAGCAGTGCTAAAGGCTATACAAAGGCTTGTGATGCAACTTTTAAGTTAAATCTGTTAAATTAACCGTTAAATTAACGTGCGATGCACAATGCCAGACAACTAGAACTCACGAATCTGCAGTGCTCGAGTACACGTGGCTGGCTAATTGCAAAGATAATCCCTAAGCTTAGGCAGGAAACGATTGCCCTTCATCATCCAGATTGTTCCCAGAGGTTGGTAGTTTCCCCTTACTCAATACCATCCAACAAACGGATTGCTCAAAGTTAAGCATCATAACAAATGCATGCCATTGGTGTCATTGCTTGCAATGCATGTCATTGGAAAATTTCCAGTGGAAGCCAACCAATGTATATGTCATGGAAAGCATAGTGTAAATTTTCATACATGATAAAAGTTTTCTTCTCCATGTGTTGCCATTGTACAATGTACAAACATGTTGTTGGACTGATCCAACGTCCTTTGGTGATCGCCTCTAAGACAATGATCAATGTTCTTAGCAATATTCATGTATCCTATAATGATATCATCCGTTCTACCATTTCTAGCTTTGAGAATATTTTGAATGTACTCTCTGCCACGCACATAGGCGTCATGTGGGGGACACCCTACCCAGGATATGGCAACATTACCCGAACCTGAATATTTACTACTGTACGATATGGGAGTAGGCTGGGGTGGTCCCACCTAGGTCCCCGCAAGGATCTACGTGCCCGGCGAGGCAAGTCCGTGGCTTAAAGAGGGCAGGCGTCCCACACCATTTGGTGTGGTTTTCAGTTGGTTTGCAGGCAATGCACCCACCGAGGCGCCCAGTGGGGCCGCGGGACCCCCTCCGCCGGATGGCCGGCAAGCTTTCCGGGGCGTGCATGTGTTCAGATGTGCAGTGTGGGCCCAGGCCTGCGGATTGGCCGGGTGCGGGGCGGCCGTACGCGTAGTGGGTGCGCGCAACGCCTTGCAACCTGCGGGTGTAGCCGTTGGGAGGCGAGTGGGTACCGGATGGAATTACAGGCTGTCGTGCGGGGTCGGTCATATGACCCCCGCATGCTGCGGTACACAACTAATAGAACAGCGTAGCAAATATGCCATATCGATCGTATCTCATCCCCGAGTACGGTAGGGGCCCAACCTTAAGTACTGGAATTTCTATAAGCTATAACTCCACTACCGCTAACCCGTTTGGGATGATTCAGAGTTCTGTAGAAAGCTAACAACCTCCTCTATCCAATTTAAGTATAATCTCATGCCCATTACCATTTCCCAGTATATAACTTGAGTAAACCGGCTACCCCCTAGAAGTTTACACAACACCACAGTAAGTCCCCCTTGGGTAATTTTGCCCTCGAAACCTTAGGCTAACCAGTGGACCTAATTACCCTCTACTAGTTTATCTCTCTTGATGATTTTCTTCAATCCCTATGGGTAGGTAAAGTTGTCCTCTAGAGTCCAAGAGGCATCGTCAATCGAATAGTCCTTCCAAAAGACCAAATACTATTTGTGCCTCTTGGTACTAGAACCGGCCTACTGCCAACGCAACAATTTCTCGATGTCATATGGCTCATCATCCTCGGGCTATAACTCCTCCACCTGACTAGACGTAGTTGGTTGTGTCCATGAAATAGTTCTGAAAGGACACAATAAGCTAACGTGGAAAACATTATGAATCTTCCACATTTTGGGAAGTTCAAGTTCGTAGGCCACTTGTCCCACTGGACGGATAGTACACAACGGCTCAACGAACCTTTGCTTCAACTTGCGGATTAATGCATTTTTCAAATTCAAATGCTCTATTGAGAAAAGCACCTGATCCTCACTACTGAACTTCTGTTCCCTTCTCTACTAGTCAGCCTACATCTTCATACGATCTTGAGTTCTATTCAGAAATTTGACGGCCTTCGAGAAATTCCTCTTCATCCGCTCGACAAATTGGTTAACTCCCTCATTTAGAATGGAATCATTGTTATGGATGAGATCTGCTGGTGTACACGAATGGTACCCATATTTGAAATAGAATAGTGTGTACACATGTAAGGGGCCACGGAGCCTTGTCGGCAACTCGTTCCAGAAGTTCCAAAATAAGTCTTGACAACCAATTTTTTTCCTAGGTTAGCAGCAGGGAATTTAAAAATACTCAAAGAGTATTTACTCACCCCTCAAATGGGAGGCTTCCTTGCCACACCCCCGGGAATGCCACCAGTTGATCACAGCTGAACATTCCCTATCCCCCGTGCCTAGCGAGGACTACCCGGGAATGGCCACACAACTACCTCACTTCCCACTTGAACATCCCCACCTCCCCTCACTCTGATGGCAGTTCGAGGGGCACATTGGATCGTCTAGGACTAGTAAGGGTGTCTGTGCAACTACTATAGGCTACTTCTCTACTCCCTGTATGTCGCGAGTGATAGGCAACAAGAGCTCCCACTCAGACTGCCGTCCGTGGGGCTATATAAGGTGCAAGCTGGTCCATGTCACATCTATCCCATTCCTATTCGCACCCCCCTACATG